CTTATTTAAACTCTCTGATCACAACCGGCCCGCCATCTCTTACCTAACCAAGGTGTAACTCATATTTTTTTATTATAATATTTTTATAATATGTATTATAATTATAATAAAAGTGTTTTAAAAATTAATAATACAAAAAAAAAAAACTTAAAACATACAAATTGGCAATATTAGATAAAGAAGTAGATTTGTGATATTTACTAACAGTATATAGTACATTATACTTACCATATTCTAAATTATATAACTATTGCAAACTTCTATTTGTTTATTATACTAGTATAGTATATATATATGAATATAGGTATTATAATGCTTGTTATAACAAAAAATATACCTATTGTGAAAAATTTTACAAAAGAATATTTTTAAAAATATGAATATATTTTTAAACTAAATTGAAAAGGATGCAAATATATTAACAAAAGAAGATCATAATGAAAATATTAAAACAGAAAAAAATAAAAAACCTTTAGAAGAAATAGAAAAACTATCAAATATTTTATCAAAATTAGTAGCAGAACTTAACCAAATAAATTATTAATAAATAAAAAATCTAAATAAAAAATATTTATATAACAGAACTATTAGTTTAATGCAATTGTAAATATAATAATAAAATACTATTTGCTATAAACTTTGTACTTTGTAAAAGTTACAAAATTAGCTTAAATTAGTAAAATATGTTTTTAGATTTTATTATATTATGATTAAAGAATAAACTAGTAAAGTTTTACAAAAGATAATAAGATTTTAGTATACTACTATATAATATATCTTTATTTATTATAATAAGTTCTATATAATATTTATATTTAGCTAATCATATTTGATAAAAATTATTAAATATAATAGCTAATAAAATATAACTTTTGTTTTGCTAGTTAAAATCAAAAGGTTTAAATAGATAACTTTCTAGTTAAGTTGCAAGTATGACAACTAGTATAAAATTTAAAGTAAACTATTTAATTAAACAATTAAAGTTATATATATAATTTTTTATAAGTTAGTTTGTACTAAAAACAAATATCATATTACAGAAAATATTACTAGAAGAATTGATGATATAATACAAGAAACTAGAATAAATAAATTTGTTAGTATAATTACAAATAACACAAATAATATGAAAGCTATATAGAATATTTTAAAAATAAATATTTAAATAAGATGTTTTTTAAATATCAGGTATATAGAATTAACCTTTGGTTAAAGATATTTTGAAGACTCAATATGTATTACAAATCCTAAAAAAAACTCAAAGAATTAGCTTTATATTTTTGTAATCATCAAATTCTTATAGCAATTTTTAATTATTTGTAAAAAAAATTTATAATATCGAAATTGTACTTATATTAACTATTGATACTAGATAAATATTAGCTTTTGAATATTTTGATTATATTTTACAAATTTAAGCTACAATAAAGGGTGTGGTAACTTAGTAAAGTGGTAGAGTTGTCGCACTCCCAGACAGAAGGTCTAGAGTTTGAATCTCATAGATGACGATTTTGAAAAAACTAGATCTGTATTGGTTAACATTAAGATTATCAGTTGGATTTAGATATTTATAATTTTGGTTACATCATCTCGAATGAGAACTTTTGATGCAATAAATCTAGAAAACCAGAATTACTAAAAACCTGTTTGGCAAGTCCCGAGTGTGGAGTAGCAGTGATCTTTGACAGTGCTACAGGAAGGCCAAATTTGAAACTAAGGACTGAGTCTGGAAAACCAAACGACCAGATCCTTAAGTAGGGGGATATATCAGCTGAACTGCCAAACCACCAACCAGAGAAAAAAAACTTCTGCTCTGAAAGTATATACCAAGAGGAGGGTAACTGTGAGGCACCTAAAGCCTGGGCAGACCAACCCTTCTAGGTTGCTAGCTGAAAGTAAGGGAGGGACCAGTAAGGAATTCAGTGAAAAAGGAAGTTGGAATATGGGTACCGAGGTTGTTGTAAACCTTACAAGAGCAAGAAGTACATAATAGAATCCTAATTAGAAAGTTGTGGTTTGAGATACAGATCGAGTTACAGTAGTATCTGAAAAGATAGCTTGAGATATGAACTTGATAATGGCAACACAACAGGTACTAGTTAGGTGAAAGTTACCAGAACATGCAGATGAATACATAGGTAGAACATGTACTATTCTGTTAGGTTTATCACAAGGATAAATACCCCAATATAGTTTGGCTAAAGTCTTAGGGTCATCTATAGCAATTGCTAATCTTATATGAGTATTAGGGTAGGGCATGTTACAAAAGTAGTAGCCAGAGGATTTAAATAGGTAACTTCCTAGTTGGGTTATAGGTACGGCAGCTAGTAAGGAACCTAGGGCAGACTACTTAAATAGGCAATCAAAAGTTGCATATATAGCTAGTCATACTCTCAGTAGAAATAACCAGAGAGCTTAA